AATAATAATAATAATAATAATAATAATAATAATAATAATAATAATAAAACAGTAAAAACTGTGTTTCGTAGGGGGGAAAAGATTATCTGCGCACGTTTTCTTGAGGTACAGAATCCCTTTCCGTCATTTTAACTATAAATAGTCGAACGATAAGTAAAAGTTAAACATAAATAAAAATAAATTTTAAAAATAGAAAGATTAGCAATATTAAAAAAAAGAAAACTAGACATTTTCGTTTCTGGGTTAGAGAAAACGTATTTGCATCGGTACACGAATTGCAAGTATGATTTTTCTGCATTTACTAACAAAATAGCAACTCGCCCTTACCTCCTACCGTTACAACCAAAGGAGAGTTCAACAAAACGTGCGCATAGTTCTATTCTCGCGATTACGAAACGGACGCGGTGAAAGTATAGATATGAGTTGATTTTATATTTAAGAATACGTGTTATTATAAGATAATACTTGTTACTTCTACATTCACTCTACATTCGGCTTATGTCCATTTCTAAACTCTCCTACTTCAGCCGTTTCTCTGTCTCCTTGGTTACGACATTTTGATGGCATGGCAGAGTTTAAGTAGACTTCCCTCCTCCTTATATCCCGGATAACAATATCCGGTTTGTTTGTTTGTTTGCCGTTACCTTGCAATCAGTGTGAATTTGATGGTCTTACAGTATTGTACATGTCCAAAAGACGTCACCGGTTTTGATGGGTGGTCGTAACACTTGGGGCATGTGTTTGGAACTTCATTGGCGATGAAGATCTGCCAGTGTAGGTAACTACACACCTTGCCTCTTCTCAAGTATTCGACCTTTGCCAAAATTAGACGTACTGAGTCATTGCGATCAATGGTTTATACTTGCTCCTGGCAAATGGCGCATTTACCACCTTGGGAAATATTGAGAATCACATTATCATAATGTGTTCTTAACGACAGATCTTGGGAAGCTATTCCAACTAGATCCGATTCTGACTTCATCCTTCCCCTTTTAAGCCTCATAAATGATTGTTCTTTATTGATATGCTCATTGCCAATTCTTTTTAGATATTGTCCATAGAGTGGTTTGTCTTTCCGCGATTTCTTCAACATTTGTTGTGTCTCACATTTTATGTACGAGTAAAGTAGCCAGTGTATATGTTACTGTGCGTGTCTTGCACAGTCTTCTTTGCAATTCTTCTTGCTACATTTATATTACCTCCGTTTCCCATTATTATCTCAGATTGCATGACCTGCCTCATTTGTGGGACATCTTGATGGCTGATTACATGCTTTCCCATTCTGACTATTTCAATGTGCCAGGAGGTTTCAATTTGTGTGAGGCCTCTTCCCCTTTCCTTACGTGACACAAAGTCTATGTACATCAGATCACGGTTTACAACATGATGAATTGTGAGCTGTTTTCTGGTTTTTCGATCCATGATTCGAATTTTTTGCACAGTCCAGTCCACTAATTCGAACTGTACCCCGCTTCTGGCGCAGCCAAACTAGCAATCGCATATATTTTATTCCTGAAGTTCAGAGCGGACTGCAGGACAAGTCTCACTCTTCTGTAATACTCCTTGCAAATTCTCCCTTTCATTGTGTTGTTCAAGATCTCACATTCTTCAACGCAAAGAAATTTGTAAGTTTTACCTGACTCAAGATCTTGAACTATCAACTTTAATGCTCTCTGACTTTGTTATTTTGCCTTTCTTTAAATTGATTTTAGCACACTTGTCAACACAAAACTTCAGGGAAAAGTCATTGTTCAAACCATTCACGGCAGCATTTGGGTGGGAATCACTTCATTTGCAGCAAACACTTGAAAAAATTCACAATATGTTTCAACGTCTTCCTACAACTACAATTATGGAGATAAATTTGGTTAATAATGAAGTGTATTCACCAAAAACAGATTTTAAAATAAGGTCATGTTGAATTATTCGAAACTACGAGTATTTTTGGAATAATTGGGGGTCAAAGTTAGTCGCCCGCTCTCAAAATACTGCGCTTTTTGATTTAGGCGTTTTGAGGCAGTTGGATGCTACGCGAGTTAGAATGTGTGTAGAACATCATATTTAATATTTGTTTTTCCTTTATTACATTGTAGCTTGTGTTCTATGTTTACAAATTAATGTTTTAGGTATTATTTAAAACCAATTTCAAGTAAACATTGCTTCGATCACTCGTATCCAATTTACACAGATGCTACGTTAGTTAGAATTTATATATTATTTCATTTTTCATTTATTATTATTTATTACATATTTATGTTATTTCTTTTTTAATTGCCTCTTAATTGTGCTAAATGTGAAAACGAATTGATGAGCAGTCATTCTCGGTTGTTGTTACCCATTGTCGTAACGCCACACAAATAACACGATAATGACGTCTTTTTGTTCGCAGAAATAAAAACGAATACTTTTATATATTTGTAATACAATAATGTTTAATAATTACTATTATATATTTTTAGATCAATTTATTTACCAACGCTACGAGTATAGTATTATTTTTTAATTTTTAAATATTTTACTTTCTGGCAGTCTGCTTATTTTTCGCATCTAATGTTCTACGATTTCAAATGAGTTTTGAAAAAAATAATTCGGAGAGAAATTGTGATATAAATAGTATTACATTACCAGTACTAATGGCGAGACAGTACGTGCTATTTTAGCACCACTAGTTTATTTCTGGTATCATTCTGAATTATTAGTTTCTTTGCAAGTATATTACATCTTGGATCATATTTGTTAATTGAACTTAGTATATTTTCAATTAATGACCTAAATACATTGATTTGCATTGTAATATGCTTTCTATCATGGTTTAAATCTCCGATAGTGCCTACGGACCTCAGTCCTAGGGGTTAAAAGGGAATATTTCCATTACAGATTAAAAAACTGCTCTCTCGCAGGTTTCTGTAGTGTAACGGTATTATATTAGTTCAATGGGAAAGACACCTTCACCAATAATTACTAGCATTTATTCTACCTATAAACAAAACTATTCTACCTATAAACATTCTCATATAACAACAAAATAGTTACCTTAAAATGAACATTATAATTCCCAACAATATGTACACCAATGATGTACATAACCCCCAATACTTTTTAGAATTGCACTTTTCTTATAACTTATAAACTTAAGAACAGGTAACAAATATTTGATGTTGTAATCACTGCAAATATATAGATTATACAATGAAGTCCATCTGAGATGAATACCACAGTGACAAAAACTCGTATTCCCCTGCTTAAAATATCCAGGAAGCAGACCAATGCCATGTAGTGATGTTACCAAAGAAAGGGTCCCCTTGCCACTTGAAGAAATCAGCACTTCTGTTTATCAGAAAGGGTTATCTCACCGTAATGATGAAGTTTGCCCATGAGGGGTAGCCAAAGCGTCGGCCTTCATACAAACGTGATGGCCTCGCAGCAGCCGAACAAAATGGCGGCCGCGGTCTCTGGATTAAATGAGTTGTCCTTCGACACAATTGGGTTGCACTTCAGTGGAAACAAAGGTTAAAGTAGGGTACGCGGTACACCCTTAGAAGGGTGGCGGCGGGTTCTCCTTAATTCGTCCCTCAAATTACACTACGCGCTTTGATAGAAATGAATAAAACTTAGGGATAGGCCATTTTTTATGTCTCGCTCTTCATACGCTTTGTTCCTGCTGCATTGTAATGCCAATTTACTTTCAAAGGCAAGTTTTCTCGCTTCGCTCGCTCGGATGCAAGTCACGGCCCACGCATTCACTATAAACATCCTTGAGCCTATCCACTGCATAATTACCAATTCACTTTTATAAGAAAGCACTTTTCAAGGAAGCCTCCAAAATTCAAACTGCGCAGTTGTCACCGGAGCGGCGCGAAATGCCGGTTTAAACGACTTCCGTAAGTTGTACCGTATAATGGACTTCAATCGTACCAAAACTACCTATTTAACTTTAAGAGGTTGCTGATAATGCGATTTGCTGAGTTGCTTTCGAGAACTGACTGACGAACACGGTGCCGCGTAGCTTGCTTAGAAAAATCACAAGGGACCGCCTTAAACGCACACTGCTAGAGATTCAAACACCACGGCAACCCAAAACGTTCTGCTGCCGAAACTACTCTGAGATGAGAGAGACCCGTTCGCTAACGATTCCCGCGTCACGATTCTCGTTCACCTGGTGGTTCTGGAATCGTGACGTCATGACGTTCTTTCTTGTTTCCCGCTCAATTTGAACGAGTTCGAACAACCATCGTTAATTAATATTTTATTTACGGGGTGACCTATTTTAACCCGTTTTAAATGTCTAGTAGACCCACGGCATTTTAAGAAAATTTCCCGCTGAGTTTAATAAGTAAGTTTATCACGTATCAAGAGGCGTATAAAAAACTTTGTCGCCTGTATGCACGCGAAACATTGCCGCCTATTTTTTTCAAATAACCCGAGGAAAGATTTATATAATAAGTACAAATAATGTTTATAACTTGGACACACATATTTAACTAAAATTAAATATGTATGATTTAATTAAAAATTTATTCGTGTTCAGTATTTTTCTACGAACAATTAAATAATTTTTAAATCATATCTTTTGATGTTCAGAAATAACATAAATTCATCATGTTTTCGTTATTTTGTAGTTAGGCAAATTTGTTATTCAACCGTTGTCCTGCCTTTAATTCTTAAAATTACGTAGGTGTCTACATTTAAAAATATCTTATAACGTTCATACTATTTTCTAGTGTAAGATGAAGGCATTTCCTCAACATTTGGAATTAAATATATTGCGACGGACTTCGTCGAAGCAAAATTATCGATAATTTCGTTCAAATTAATGTTTTGCAACATTAACTTCTCGGCGCCTAATAAAGCAAAAGCATTAAGACAATTTTCAATCATTGACAAACGCAAATTTTGCATAATCGATAACTTCTTTCACACGAGTAAGACGATATTAAAAATGAATATATATCGAAGAAAATTGAAAGATATGGAATGGAAAGATAAGGTTTAATTCTCTCATGCGGTTCTGACATTACGTAATGGACACCAATATTACGGGAACGTATGTGCAATTGTTGCACCAGTTATTTACACGTCTTAACCATCATGCAATTCACTGAAATTTTTCCTAGGGCCTTTGGCCTAGAGCAGGATTTGAACGACACATTTGGATGAAGGAAAGTGAGCCTGGCAGGTGTTTATTCGGTTTATTGCTCAGGTGATTGGCAGATCTTCATTCAAACCGTATTTCTGCTGTGTTAAAAGAATGTCATGTTTTCGTAGGTGACGTGCCATTTGCTCCATTCGTTGCTATAATTTGTGTTGCGCTTTTTGTCTTGTTCAGGTTGTTTAAAATCGTCATTAGTGAGGTCTCTCTGCTATGTTCAAGGAGTTCGCGAGTTTTCATTCGAGATGTACCATTTGCTCTGTTCGGGAGACTGGTAGTTCGTCACGTGTGCGGTGCCTTCTGCTTTGTTCATGTGCTTTAAGGTGTTCATTTGTGCTTTGTGCTCCTTCCGAAACATTGTCATTGGTGACGTGGTATCTGCTCTGTTTTGATGACAGAGTCAGTCTGCTTGTTGGAGTCAATTGCCTAATGTTGTGATCAGGTTATTGGCAGGTGTGTTCACTTGTGACGTCATTCACCTTTTTTACTTTCAGATGGTGTCGACATTCACGACGCCATTCGTCTTTTTCTTTGCTCATGCGGTTGGCGTGTGTTCACTTGTGACTCAATTCCCCCTTTTGCTGTGTTCATGTCGTTGGCGTGCTTATTTGTGACGTAATTGCATTTCGCTTTGTTCAATAATTGGAGTGTGTTCACTTGTAGCTTAATTCCCCTTTCGTTCTGTTCATGTCGTTGGCGCGCTTATTTGTGACGTCATTACCTTTTGTTCTGCTAGGTGGTTGGCGTGTATTCACTTGCGACTTAATTTCCTCTTTTCTCTGTTCATGTCGTTGGCGTGCGTATTTGTGACGTCATTAACTTTCGTTCTGTTAAGGTGGTTGGCGTGTGTTCACTTGTGACTTAATTCCCTCTTTTCTCTGTTCAGGTGGCGGGCACGGCTGGGAACGAGGCGCTGTGTCAAGCTGCCAGCGATGGCCGCGTGGAGGCGCTAAAAGCGCTGCTGGCGGCGGGCGTGTCAGTTGATGCTAGAGACGGCACCGGCAAAACACCTTTGATTCTCGGCTCGGAGGAAGGCCACTTGGACGTGGTTCGTGAGCTTTTGAAGGCCAATAGCAATGTCAGCATATCGGACAATGACGGCGATACGGCCTTAATTCGATCTGCGGCTCGTGATCACTTGGAGGTTGTGCAGTTGCTCTTGGCTGCGAACGCGGAGGTGAATGCGCGAAACAATATTGGGATGACGCCTCTCATGCAGGCATCGTGGATGGGTAACGCGAAAGTATTACGCGAGCTTTTGAAAGCTAATGCTGACGTACACCTGAAGGACAAAGACGGAGATACAGCCTTAATACTAAGTGTATATTTTTTGAATCATGTGGAGTCACTACGAGAGCTCTTGGCTACGAATGCGGATGTGAATGCAAGAAACAATGAAGGGAAAACGGCCCTCATGAGTGTCTCATTGAGAGGTGATGAAGAAGCAGTTCGTGAGCTTCTGAAAGCGAACGCAAATGTAAACATTTCTGATATTAACGGACATACCGCTTTAATGAACTCTGCACGCGGTAGTTATGTTGAGGTTTTGCGGCTTCTCTTGGCTGCAAATGCGGATGTGAATGCAAGCAACAAAGATGGGAAAACGGCTCTCATGTATGCCGCAGCTAAGGGTGACGTAGATGCAGTAAGCGAACTTTTGAAAGCGAACGCTGATATACACGCTTCCAGCAATCAGGGAAATACCGCTTTAACAGTATCCGCAAAGTACGGTAGTACGGCGGTGCTTGAGTTGCTAGTGGCTGCGAATGCAGACGTGAACGCAAAAAACCTAAACGGAACAACAGCTCTCATGTACGCCGCAGCAAACGGTTCCCCAAACGCAGCGCGTCATCTTTTGAAAGCGAACGCCGATGTAAACATTGCGGACAAGGACGGGGACACCGCTTTAATGCTGTGTTCAACAGAAGGCACTTTGGAGGTTTTGCAGCTGCTCCTGGCCGCGAAAGCGGATGTCAGCGCGCGAAACATAAACGGGACCACGGCTCTCATGTACACCGCGTGGAACGGCCACGCGAATTTAACGAACGAGCTGTTGAAAGCGAACGCCGACGTCAACATCGCTGACAACGACGGCGACACAACCTTAATCGCGGCTTCAGTCAACGGTAATTTGGAGGTGGTGCAGCTGCTGTTGGCCGCGAATGTGCAGGTGGATGCAAGAAACGAAAATGAAACGACGGCTCTCGTTTATGCGTCAGCGCTCGGTCACGCTAACGTGGTGCGTGAGCTTTTGAAAGCGAACGCCAACGTAAGCATTTTGGACAATGACGGAGATTCCGCTTTAACGCTGTCCGCAAGAGAAGGCCATTTGGAGGTTGTGCGGCTTCTCGTGGCCGCGAAGGCGGACGTGAATGGACGAAACAAAGAAGGACAAACGGCTCTCATGCAAGCCGCGTTCAACGGCAACGCAGATGTAGTGCGCGAGCTTCTGAAAGCGAGCGCAACTGTAAACATTGCAGACAATGACGGGAATACAGCCTTAATAATAGCTGCCTATTCCGGCCATTTGGAAGTGGTTCAGCTCCTCTTGGCTGCGAACGCGGACGTGAATGCGAGAGACAATGAGGGAAAAACCGCTCTTGATTATGCCGCCGAGAAGAAACACGACGATATACGACAGGCGATACTGAATTTCAAGTTTGGTTCGTAATGAAGAACAATCACCTCGATAGATTCGCATACAAAAGGCATATTGGTAAAAGTACTATTTTTTGGGGGCAGTTGATGTCGATTTTGAAATGAAAACCGTGAGAAGATGAAAATTTCTTGGCAATAGCTTCTACGAATTCATTTTGGTATTTTGAACTCAATCATTTGATTGGAAAAATCCCAAACTCACAAGGAATGCTGTATCAATATGCAGAACATTTAAGAGAATGATGTAACTGTTTTGTAGAATTAAATAAATTAAATGAAAATAAGAATTGCTTTAAAAATTATGTACCGGGGGAGTTGGCTCAGGGCATCAACTGATTTCACAGCAGTGCCTCGTTCTGGTATTCGAGTCCCGACGGTGGCAGGATTTTCGACTCCAGCCAGATAACGGGTCTAATTCTGTCGCTGTCTGGAGAAGAACTGTAGTGGCCGGCTGCTCTGATCGGTATTTTTCGATCAATACCAGGCAAATGTTGGAGCAGTACCTAATCAAACGGGTCACGGACCGCTTGCACGGACATTTCTTTTCTTTCCCATTCCTTGTCCTATCTTTACCACTTATATATACACACAAACACACACTACCACTCGGGTCGGGAGCTTAGGGCTGGTCACGGCTGAGGCGGTGCCTCACTGGTGGGAGATACCTAGTAGAGGAAGACCCGCTACCCGACGCCGGCACTACGCACTATACATGCACTATACATGAGTGGTGAAGCAGCGAAGTCTTATTGGACATGATGGTGAGGTTCAACGGTTGTGGAGAAGGGAGCTGCCATTTTCAGTCACTAAGAACGCCGAATCTCTGATGAGATCGGAAGGCGAATCTGCCAATTGGAGCGATCCTCTCAAAACGTGTAGCGCAAGCCCCCGGGAAACTTACAATATTGTTTGAACTAGTTTGTATAGACGTATACATTATATAATGTGTAGGTCAATTAATAAGAAAATAAATGTTACATGGTTTTGAAATTTAGAAGCAGCGAAATAAATCGTGGATAAATTTACAAAATAAAGGAAAAGGATTTTACATTTTCAATACTTATTTTTACATTTATTAATCTGTAAATCCTCGGAACTAATTGTAGGCACGAAAGATGATTTAGTCACTTAAACACAAATACTACACAAAAACAACAAATACGAAATACCTATCTATTAGATAGGAAAAGTGACGTTTTTGGCACTCAAAAAAGTTACAAAATGATTGAACCAGGCATTTACACAAGATTAGACACAAAAGTTAAGTTTCACGTATTTAAAACTTATCACAAATGATTAAATTAGGAAATTTTTATTATTTATGAAAGTCAAGTATTCATGCATTTGAGAGTGCCTACAAGCGTATTATTTTAATCAGTTTCATTTCTACACATTTTATTCATTCTTTCACACTTCATTCTCAGCCTGTCCACGAACACCTGCAGCGTGAGCGAGAATGGATGCAATTGCCTAGGAAGTGCGTGAAGATTGGAGGCGATCTTGAAACATCCTCTTGATACTGACTTGCAGAGCTCCTTGTGAGAGCGTAGGCTTCCGCGGCCGGAGTCAGTATTTACTAGGCTGTCCGGGTGACGCCGCGTCCATGGCGAAGGTGCCGACGTTTCGGTCGCTGTTCTGCGACCTTCCTCAGGGCGTAACGCCTGAGGACATGTTACCCGGACAGACAAGTAAAAACAAAGCTCCTTATGTTCGGTGTGTTGGAGGGATGCCTGCGCCTAGTCGATTACGTATTTGATCAGGGAATATTCGCGTTTAGGGAAAGTACTTGCATTTCGATGTAACCATTTAAAAAAAATTAGCAATTAAGATATGGTAATTTAACAAAAATACTGGTTTTAGGCAAAACCATTACAATAGGTATCAACAACCCATTTTAGGCACTATTGGATGTTTTGACTAGATCTGTTTTTTCATGATTTGTAAACATCTTCAATTGTTTTCCATCACCACCACCCCAAAAAACTAAATTGGCATTTGACATAAAAGGCTCCGTCTACTTATATAATACACAGACATCATTATGTTGTACATATACACATTTCTACTCAAGTTGATACAAAAATGATATGATACAAACAAGTAACTATACTTACTCTCAGATCAATGTAACTAAACTTGACGAAATATTCACTAAGTAAATTATAATCATCAGCAAAATACAACAATAGCGCTTATTACTTCTGTAATACTGCATTACAACCAAACAGGAACTTAATTGCCACAATCCCTTTGCAAATTGCGATAAGATGTAAAAAATCACACAGGTATATGGAGTTTGCAATACATTGGGAGGCCCAAACTGATTTTTGATGTGCACTGTATCAAATGTAACTCTTACTGTTCACGAACAGTAAGAGTTGAAAAAGAATACAATTGAGAGATTATCTCAAGGGTTTCTAGTGACTATCGACAAAAAATAAATATAGCTAAAAACGATACTGACTTTGAAGTCTTAACACCCTTTGAAATTAACCAACATTAGAAGGTATCTTAATTGAAAACTTGTTTATTGTTCCAATGTACAATGTAGTAAATACATACTCTTGTATGTTGTTCACTTGTGTTGCAATGCAGAGTTAAACCTTCATTATTCAAGAAAGGAGGTTCATGTAAAATAGAGCCACCATAAAACACAATGTAAGACTTATGCGTAATGAAATCGAAATAAAGGCTACCAAAAGTAACACACATTACACAAATAAGAGCTCAAATGCAATAACGTGTACAAAATATGAACGAATTCACGAATTGAAAATGTTCTAATTATGATCTAATACACAGACTAAACGTTTAGTAAAATCTTAAAATAGCAAAATAATATGTTAATCATATGTTTGAATAGCATAACTAGAATGGCCAAGTTACTTAGTTGTCAGATTAGCTAATAAACAAGTTTCGTACATTTGTGTTGCTGAAAGCAAGGTCCGTATTTCTTACACAATAGGCCACTTAAGAACATGTGTTACAGAATATTGTTTTAAATATTCAAATGGGAACCTGTGTCTTTTGTCCTAATATTGCACACTGCTGGCAAAAACTCCATCCAACATCAGAGTAAATACTGGAGACAATCTTGAATATCGCAGAGTTAAAGCCTTATCTTCTACGAAATGACGTCCATCATTTAAAACAGAATTAAACATTATTTTACTCTTTTACAAATAATTTGAAAGAATGTGTAACACACTTGCTATTAAAATGTTGAAATATGTATAGTATGTTATTACATACAAATCCTAGCCCTAATTATTACGCCATTGGTTTTATATTCCTTATATTTTTCGTAAAGAGTTATGCATCATGGTAAAAATCAATAACACTATTTTGACGGAAATATGATGATTTGGAAGCACCATTTCTAAAAGAAAACTTAGCATTGATGCACAGTACAGTGGCTCCTCCGTCCTCTTGTGCATCTGCTGCAGGTTCTACAAAACAAGAAATTAAATGAACGAAATCCATGTCATTTCATTTTGTACCTGTAAAATATCAGATCTTCATAAAAGTCAATACAACTTTAAAAAAAGAGTAGTTTTTTATTAATAACCGCTTGACGTTAATGCAATTTATGTTTAAAAATGTTTATACAAACGTCTTCGAATTTTATCTTTACATTTTTCTCCCCAAATAGAGCAAGGAAGTTTAAAAATTGTGGTCTCATTTTCATTGAACTTTCTGAATTTTAGAAAATTACAAATGTTAGAAATATGCGATAAAGTATACGCTTTTGTAGCACCACTTTGACGCGGCCTGTAATTAATAAACGGATGTCTCTTTTTCGGCCCACTGTAAGCGGAGAAGAAATGTCAAGAAATATTCAGCAACAGCAATAAATCTAAGTATAAGTATATAATCATAAATATAAGTTTATGGTGTTATGGTTACTAAAGAAGTGTATATTTATTTGTAAATGAAAGAATACACTTTGTCCATATATTTACAGTTGCTGAAAAATAATTTGTGCGCCGTTGTTTTTCACAGTTTACAGTAATACATATCGCACCTTCAATAGAAAAGTGACACATATGTGAATTTCTGATTTCTCAGAAATTGCAATTTTAAGTTTCGTAGTTCTGTAATACTCGTTATAGGTTGTACCAAATGTTCACCTTCCAGCGGACAGTAATTGAACTAATTCAAAATCAACTTCTGAATAGTAGCAGTACCTTTTGGTAACCTCTTGTCAGCTTTTAGCTCAAAAATGAAGATTTCGCACTTGTGTAACTTTTCTATTGGAGGTGCGATATATTTAATGAGGAAGATAAAAGGTTGTGACATCACAGATGCCTGGAGTCATTCCGAGTGATTCGGAGTCCGTCCGCTAGATAGCATTAGCTCGCTGATTCTCTGGGTCTCCGCCATATTGATCTTTGACGTCACACGCGGAAGCGCACTACAATGTTGGTAAACACCAGGCAACAGAAGCAAGGTCAGGGATTTCAGAGGTTAGCGAACTTGGGACGCGTGCCTGCTTCCGTAAACAAACAACGCGTGTGAACTGCATGCCTACACCAGAGGGGAGACTGCCGCGTTTTGGAGAAAATATGTAAAGACGTTTGCTGATAGTCGCGATTTAATTCAGTTTTGTCATTATTTGGCAGCATTTTAAACACAAAATGAACTTTTGTTAATTGTCAACAAAAGCATTTGATTATTTCTTTGGCCACATCGAGAGAATTATTTGAAAATAAACCTAGTGTAAAAGAAATAATAGTAATTTATTATAGAAGGCGGAAGTGTATCTTTATCAACGTCTGTAATATTTTATATTATTGTAATCAATGTTTTAGTAAAATGAAGTAGTATAATTGTCATATTTCATACGTCAGGTAAATAGTTACAGCATAGGCCGCTCAAAACGAATAGTTAATAATAATTTACTAAAAAGTATCGTAATTCAATACATCATATTACAATATGAGATTGACAAATTATCAAACGAGGCCGTGAGATCGGATTTCATAGCCAATCGAGTTTTATAATAACGAATAT